GTTCATTGACTTATTAAGTATATGTCCTTTTTTTCAAGTGGTGGTTATAGTATATAATTATAATATATATATATTATAATCGTAGTCTATCTTCACATAACATAGCATTTCAGATACAGTATAAGTACCTTATAAGAGCATACTTCCATCTCACTAGGCTTTTTGTGCTCATCATATACGTGCTTTTTACTTGCATGTTGTAAATTCTTCAGTGTAGTATTTAGCATCTTTGCTTTAAATAGTCGTCTTTTAAAAAGATGAACAATAATGAAAAAAATTCCTTACTTAAACATATTCACTATTTTTTTATGTTCTTTATTCTTTTTCATAGACACGTAATTTCCATCTTTACATCATTTACCTTCTGCCTTAGGAATCTTAAAAAGCTCCCCTGGTGACTCTGTGGTTTGGACATTGAACTATTAATCATAGGGACAACAGTTCAATTCCGCCACCTGGTCCTCAGGAGAGAGACGAGGCGCTCTGTGCTCCGGTAAAGAATTACAGGCTCAGAAACCCTGTGTAGAGTAGCTAGTCGTTAGAATTGACTCAATGACAGTGGGTTTTTTTTCTTTAAGGAATTTTAACATTTCTTGTGCTACAGGTTTGCTGGTAAAGTCTTAAAGTTTTTATATATCTTTAAACATCTCTATCCTCTTTATTTTAAAAATCTACTTTTTTTCTGGCAAAGGGTTCCAAGTTGATGGTGTGTGTGTGTGCGTGCGCGCGCGCGCAAGCCTGTCACACTTGTACTTTAAATATACTGTTCTGACACCTATTGTCTCCAGCCAGAAGTCTTTTGTCATTCCTTGTTCCTTTGTGGATTATGCCTGTTCTCTGGCTACTTTTATGGTTTCCTTTTTAACTCATGTTTATGATTTGCTTTGATTAGTTTCTTCATTTTTCTCGTGCTTGAGATTCATTTTTGGATTTGTTGGCCACATTTCTATCAAATTTAGGGAATTATTGGCTGTCACTTGTTTCATTTATGGGTGATTTAAAAATTTTTCATGTTTTTGTTTCTATGGCTTCTGTGTGATTTTTAAGTTTGTTATTACTGAGTTTTATTCTTATGTGCCATGTTTTCCTGCTTCTTTGTATTCCTAGTGACTTTTTATTAGATGCCAGGCATTGCGAGTTTTAATCTTATTACGATATTGGTTTTCCATGTTTTTTTCAGAATTCTTGAGTTTTGTTTTGTGACTCAACTGAGTTACAGGTGAACAATTTGGTCCTTTTTAGGCTTTTATACATTTTTTTAAACTGGGACCAGAGCAGCCTTTCAATAAACTAGGGTTTATTTTACTCTCTGTTGCTGAAATGATCAATACCTTTTTTAGTACGCTGATCAGGTCCCTATAAAGTCTGAGATTTTTCCATTCTAGACTGTTCCTGTTCCTATGTAAGTTCTGTTTATTTTTCCTTATCAATAATTTCTTACCCCCCTCCAGCAGTTTTCTTACATGCTTACACGGATGTCATTCTGTTATCTGTGACGTTTTTGGTGTGCCTCTGTGTAGCTCTTTGTTCTCTGCTCTGTGCATTCTAGCTACCTCTATGGGGCTTTGTGAAATCCTCGCTTCTGTAACTTCAACTCAGAGGAACACACACACACCCATTTGGTTTTGGGTCCCTTTTCTTTGCACTGGATATGTTCCATGCAGTAAACAAGACAGTTACAGAGGTCACCATTTGTTTTTTTTCCTTCGGGACCACAGTCCTGTGCACCTGTTGTCTAGTATCTAAAGTGCCTTTTTTTTTTCTTGTGCTATTTTGTGTGGGTTTTTTAGTTGGAGGGGTAACTCTGGAGTGGAAATTAGAATTCTCTCTTAATTGTTATAGCTTAATTCTGTGTTTTCATCATCAATTTGAACCAATACAATATCATAATCCTCCTTTTGTGTAAAAAAACGTGACAATGACAAAACCCTAAATAGAACATTTAACATATGATTTTAGAACTTGCAAAAAAAAAAAAAAAGAACTTGCCTATTTGTGCATTAAGCAATTCTGTTGGGATGATTGGACTGTTGTGACCATGGAACTTTTTGTTTAATATCAATTGATACTCCAATGAATATACTTAAAGCTACTATGTAGAATTTTGAAATGGCTTTTTTAAGTTTCTTAGGGAAAATATGTTCACTTCATTTTACCATTAAACTGGTTTCATTTGTTTTATGGATTGAATTGGATGGTCATTGTTGTTTTCCATAGTTTTGCCATGTATGAACATCTTTAATTTCTTTACACATAAAAAACATTTTTTTGTATTCTCTGGTATTTTTTATATCAAAAGTCTGAAGTACTTAATAGCCAAAGGAGACTTTGGTGGCATAATCATAGCTGCTAAATCCCAGCGTAAGCAGTTCAAAACCACCAGTTATTGTATGGGAGAAAGATGGAATTTTCCCCGAAATATTTAAAATGTTTACAGCCATGGAAACCCAAAAAAGCAGTTCTGTTCTGACATACAGCATCACCGTGAGTCAGAATCTATTCAGTGGCAGTCTTTAACATTTTTTTTGCAATCTTCCATAGTTTGATTCTGCTGGCTGTTGATCATGGTGTCCTGAATATTTTGTTACTTTGAGCAATTCTAGTTACAAAC